CCTCTGGTCTTTTTGGCTTGTGTCTTCTGCTATGGAACCTCTGGCCTATGAGTGAGGTGAGGTGAGGTGAGGTGAGGTGAGGTGAGGGTGTCCAGGGCCCCAGTATTCTTGGCCTACTATGCCTGGGGTAGAGCTTCCACTGTATGAATGTGGCTGGATAAAGGAAGGGAGCCCCTGACCTGCTGGCTGTAGGCACCTGGAATTTAGCCTTTTCAGTGCAACAGGGGTGTGTGGAATGAGAATGTTGGCAGTTGCTCTCCTGGGGAACTACTGGAGCCCTTTACTGGGAAGGATAGGAGAGGAAATCTAGTCTTCTAGGCCACACCCACCTGGAGTGAAGCTTGTTATCTGATCTCGGGCAGGGGAAGAAGGGAGTGGTTCATGGCTCTAGTGCCACAGATTCTCAAGATTTTAGTAGATTTTCTGGAGTAATTGTTTATTTGCAGTATGTCCTTGGGACAATTAATAATTTATAAATAATTTCCATCAGTTATGGTTGTTCACTGGAAAGAGGGTCCTCAGAGCTCTTTAGGTGACACTCAGGAACTATGCTTCATCTCTGGCATTAGTTTATGTTTCCGCAGAATGCATTGCTTACTTCTTGGCTTTATAACTTTAGGTAGCCATGAACAGTTCAGGAAAGGTAGACAGAAAACAGAAGACTGAGAAAAGGAATTTAGGAGACATTTATGTAGGGAATTCATGTTGAAGAAAATGTTCAAATATTTAATGATTAACTTTGATTAGAGAAGGTTAAGGTTATGAAGAGCTAGTATGTGTGCTCACTGAACAACAAACAAATGAAAATCTTGAAAATCTTACATGCAGCGCAAGGCATGTAGATTGCACACAAGAAACGGTCTCTTTGCAAGGTTGCAAAATAATAGGATGCACTGCCCACAAAGGTTGCAGAAGAGCCTTTTCAGACAGGCTGGATCCTTTAGCTGGCTGGTCGCATGAGTGACTAAAAGGCAGCTTCTCTATCACCTCACTCATTACGGAATTTGGCAGAGGCACTTTATTAACACAAATTATTAAAATAACTTCAGTTTTGTACCTTTCACCTACAACACTGAACCATGGCAAAACACCCAAGAATATTTTAAAGTTTGTTAACAGCAAGGTGCAAGGAAGCCAAAGAACTCTCTGGGCCACGCCGATGGTTAGCCTGCTCTTCCTCCAGGAAGGTTAACAAATAAAAGCAGCTGTCTCTCCTGCTGGACTTTCTGCAAGGCTGCCCCAGGTGGGTCGCTGCCCAAAGACTGGGCACAGGGTAAACAGCCTCGTTAGAGCCCTGGCAGCGCTTGGTCAGTTTCCTGAACATGGGCAAGCTATTGTTTTTCCCTTTCCAGGATGTGGAGTTAAACAAGACCCCTTATCTTGCGTACTCTGTCTAGTAAGGTTGTGGTGTCATTTCCAATGAAATGCCAAACCCAGGACAGTTTCGATTCAAAGAGATAGCTATTATTTAATGAGCTAAAATCTTAACAATATTAGGGGACACGAGTGCTCTTATTGTTGGCAGGATTACAGAAGTCGGCCTGGCAGAGGGATACTCACCCTCTTCTCGTGGCAGTTCTGTCATTTCAGTAAGAGGAAGAGGTAACAGCAGATGCAGTGATGCTATCTGTCAGCTTCTCTTAGCAACAAAATTAAGATCTGCTGGATCTATATTTAAATTGTGATTTGCAAAGTATGATCAAAGTTACTACTTATGGAAGTTGTGATCTAAGACTGACTAGGATTTGAATTTTGGATTCAAACGGGGAAAATAGAAACTATAACAGGTCAAGTACACACAAAAATTATGCATACTAAATTATATATGTAACCACAATTTAAAACTATTTATCTCCATATATAGATGGATAGATATATAGTGGTAATTTGAAGCAATCCTGTTTGAGGGAGTTATACTCCTCTTGGAAAATAATTAGCACTGACACATCACTGGATGAGGGGGGGCTTCACATACTCAAAGGTGAATTTCAGATTGCAGGAGTTTGGAAATTCATTAGCCTGTCATTTCAGTTATCCAAGTTCCTTGATTATATGTTTGTTTGTTTTTTAAATTTATTTTTATATTTTTACAGAGGGAGAAAGGGAGAGGGAGATAGGAACATCAATGATGAGAGTCATTGATAGGCCGTCTCCTGCACGCCCCCCACTGGGGATCGAGCCCGCAACGCAGGCCTGTGCCCTGACCGGGAATCGAACCGTGATCTCCTGGTTCATAGGTTGATGCTCAACCGCTGAGCCACGCCCGGCCGGGCTACATCTGCTGCTTAACAGCTGACAAGAACTGAACACAAAATACTGTGTCATGAAAAAAATATCACATAATAAAGAGCAATATAGTTTTGGGAAAGCTTTAAGATCAAGATTACAAATCTGTAAGATAGCACAATCACCGCAAGTTGGATAGCCCATGATATTTTACAAACCTTCAATTTAAAGGAGTTAAAAATATCCTAAGTAAGGTTTTGTATACATGAAGGGTATTTCAAATCTTTTTTTGTGCCATTTTCATAAAGAAAAAGGAGGGAATGAATATTCTTTTTATTCCTCCCTCAAAATCCTTTTCTTAGAAGTTTCTTGCCTAGTTTGGAGTTTAAAAATGCAATTGAGTTAACTAGCGATAGGATCAAACACAAAATTATTTACACTAACAAGGTTGCATGTGTTCAGCTAAGTGTTTTAAATAATTTCCTGAGTCTTACTAAAAATCCGTGAAATGTACCAATATCTCAATTGGCAGGTAGTGTGTGCTTCATTCTAAACAATATTATCTTATAAAGTCTGAAGGCGTAAATAACTAATGGTAAACTAGACAAACTGATTTTTTCCATATGTAGTCCAATTCTCAGAATCTCGGGCTGGCTCAGAACCCGAGGTCATCTGGTTCCGCTTCCCACCCACTGGGATAAATACTTGGATCGACTGTCTGAGCCTCTGCCTGAAGAGTCACGGGCGGAGGGCTCAGGGCTCCGTGGCACGAATGACTCAGCGCTGAGCATTCGCTGGTCGTTAGTCACTGGGCGAAGTGTTTTCCTAACATTATCATAAAACAATTCACGAGGTATTAATATCGTTTTACAGAGGAGGAAACTGAATGTTGATGCAGGTGAAGGAACTTCGAGGCCATTCCGTTAGTGACAGTGTCGGGGCAGCTGGCACAAATGGGTGCTTTGGATATGACGCTATGCTGCGTGACAAATTTACTCCCATTTTATGTGAAGGCTCTTCACATAGTCTAAGAGAACCATCCCACGATCTCCCAAAAAACATTCATTTATTCAACACTGCTTCTCGGTACTCTTCTGGTTACTGTTTCTGGGATGCACACAAAGCAAGCAATGCCACTGGGGAAAAGAAATCTTTTTCCCACTTTAGTTTGCAAAAAAAAAAAAAAAAAAAAATGCACAATATTCATTTGTGAAAGTCCAACAATACAATATATATGGTAAATAAACTCTAGTCCCTCCCTATCCGGTATTCAACTCTATGTAGTTATTAGGCATCTGCTTTTCTATTTCATGCACACATTCATTTACTACAGTTTAAATCAACACAATTCCAAGTTCAGGGGCCACGGGATATTAACTTAGAAGCAATTACCCAAGTACAAACTTCACTGTTAGCTCTTTGGTCCACAAATTGCTATGTAGTAACAGGTGTGTCCCAAGATCAGCGACCAGTAATGTCGCTTCTTTCAAAGTCTGCTGGTGACTGGTCACTGTGCATGTTAGTACAAACTGTGTAGCTGTGTTGTCTTCTCATGTCCTAGTGACAGCCATGTGGCAATTTTACAAAAGTAGATATTCAAAGGAGGAGAAATTGGCCTACAAGGCAAAAATATAGCAAAGAAATGAAGTGAAAACATTAGAAGGGAAATTTGAGTTGAATGCAAATGGTTACAGAGACAATAGCTGCCCATGGGAGTGTCTGATAGACTCTAGTCACGCAACCAGAGACGCAGGGAGGATGAACCTCGGGACATCCATCAGCAACGTGGCCGTGATGAAAAGGGGGAGGGTGTCCCAGAGAAAGTGAGTCTGGCAGAAAACCTAACATTAAGGGAACTCTTGGAAGTACAGCCTGGCACGGAAAGCACAAAGGTTGAAGTGTTAGCTGCTCCAAACTTAGAGTATGACAATTTGCCAGGCAGAGAAAAGACACTCGCTCTGTACCGTAAATTTTATGACGCGAGGAAAGTAAGCATTGTTCAAATACTCTTGATAAATCAGTTTTCTTACAAGACGTAAAAACTTTCTCAGTATCTAATTTTTAAATTACAGTGTACTAAGTGTTTATTTTTTCACTTTCCATACAATTATAATTGACAGTTTTTAATATTTTAACAAACATTTTTAAAGGTCATGGTACAGTAATAATAATCCTATTTTCCCCATTGGATAAGATTCCTTTGCAGTTTCAGCTGCACGGTCATTTTTATGGTTTTACTGTGCAAAGCAAAACCCAGCTATGTATGTCTTAGTGTGTGTGTGTGTGTGTGTGTGTAAAATCTGCACACGGATAGCGCTGGGGTTTTTTAAACTGGAAGTTGGTACCTTTGACCCTCTTCACCCACCTTGTGCACCCCCCAACCACCAATCTAGTCTCTGTATCTGAGCTCATAGTTTCTTAGATCCCCACCCCCACCACTAATGCTCCTTTATTTCTTCCAGCACTTTATTTTTCATGTTCTCATTAATTCCTGCCAAATTCTGTGTATAGTGTTAAATGGAGCTCTATTTTTCCTTTTCAAATGTTCCCAATACCATTTACTGAAAAGAGCACCTTTTCCAAATGTATTTAGAAAAACCTACTGTGATTACGATTGCATTTTACTTTGAATTATTTGCTTGCAGACCTTTTTTTTTAAACTAAGTGTTATGCTCATTTTCACAAAAGTTCAAATAAGAAATCATGACTCCCAGGTTTCTAAATAGTAAAATTATCTCATACTTAAAAAGCATACGGAAAAACAGAAACACAGCTTTAGAGAGAAAATATTTAATCTGTTTCATGAAAAAAAATATACAAAGCTTTAGAAACAGTTACTGGGTTTCAGTGTACAGCACAGCACGTCCTTGCTTTCAGTAACCACGGTTTACACTCCTGACTCGGCAACGAAGGCCACCGCGCACGCATTCCAAACATCTTCTCTTAACACACGCACTTAAAGTCACTGAGAATAGTCTAGAAATAAATGTAGAAATACAGAGCTGTATAAAAATATATTAATCTGGCTACAGGAAACACTTAAAAAATGCAAACCAAGTAAATTCTTTTAGAACTAGACCATGTCTAGAAATATCGATATGGGCCCTTGTAAATTGGATTTCCACTGCATTTTTTTCATCTTTGGAGGAGAGAGAAAGGACAATCAAACTTTTGGAATGACAGGCACGAAGTCAGCACAGCAGACCAACCCTATTCTCAGAACTGAAACCACAGCCTGATCAACACAGAGAAGAGATGTATTTGTCTTTAAAATTTGACAGATGTTATGGACTGTTACGATTTCAAAGTAATTATATATATATCAGTCACACAGAAAACTCTGATTTGCCCATAATCCACATGTAAAGTAATGACAGTAATTAAAACATTTCTAAACTGGAATCAATGGGCCCTAACTGAATTTAAAATTTTTATATTAACCTACCTAAAACATAATTAGGAAGGCATACCTCAAAACAGAGAAAGTAAGTTCAAAGTCACACAGGGCACTTTTCCTTTGAAAATGGGGTATCAGGAATTCTAGGGAAAAAAGTGACCACCACAAAACCATTGTGCTGTACCTGTGACTTGTGTAACCAGTTCTCAGCAGAACTTCCTCCGCCACTATCGGAGAGAGAAGCCTAACGTGTGGAGAGGAAGTGGCTGTCTCCTTTTTTGCGGGTGAACTTGGGTGATGACTGTCAGACGCATGGGTGAACAAAACATTTCAACTCTATACAAATATTTGTTAGCGTTCTGAATACTGTAATGAACACAATAATAGATGCAATGTACAGGCTCAGAATGAATAAATGAATTCCTGATGGGACTAAGAATCATGACTACAAATTCTAAAAACAGAAGACAGTGAAATGACGGAGTCCTGTTTTCAGAGAGGGACGTTCTATTTTCCTCTCCATCACCAACTGATCAACTTATGTTTTCCCCCATATACTTTAATATTTTTCATGAGCAGAACACACTAAAGAATGAATCAGAAAAATACTGTTTAAACTGGGCATATTTAAATCAGAGAGCTAAGTTTTTCCTCTACTCCTCAGCATTATGAGGTCTCATCTTGCTTTATTTTCAATGTAAATATGTAATGAAGTATATTAAAAGCAAAAGGTAGTCCACTGTTTGCCCGTCTAACTCAGTTTTAACTTTTCCACATTAAAACCCCTGACAACTTTGCTGAACTGTGTATTACTGACCAACTCCGGCCTGTAAGCTGCTGCTTAGAGAAAGGAATTGGCGGCGCCCTGGCGGGCAGGTCACAGAAATGCTGAGCCCGCGGTGTAGCCCTCGGTGCTGCGGGTGTGCGGCTGCTGCAGGCTGGCAGGTGGACTTACAAATACTTGCGATTTTTTTATTTGGTGTGGAGCTTTCAAGAGAATGGAACGCCCTTTGGTACGTACACTTGAGAGCGACATGCCAGCAAAGAGGGACACACCAGACGATGAATACCTGTGACTAGGCAAACACTCAACAGGTATCTAGGGTGCTCCCTTTCCAGCTCCAGCTCTGAAGGGTTAAACCGGATCAGCCAGGGAAGAGGTGCCCAGAGAGGCTGCTGGCTGCCGCCCGCCCAGGCACCGGGGTCTGAGGTCAGATCCAGAGCCGCCAGGCCTGCTGGGCGAGGGTTACACACAGGCAGATGAGTCTGCCTCTAACTTTTAACACCATTGTTTACACTAGCCTGTTGGAAGGAAGTGGGAAAAGCAAAGTTTTAATTATTTAGGACAAGACAGTGACTTGGGGTGAGTGCGAACTCTTTATTTACACTATGTGTGCACCACAGGAAGAAAAGGAGGCATCTTGGTGACTAACAGTGAAAGGGGAAATTCTACTTCTGAAGTATGACATCCTTTTAAGCTGACGTACAATTCCTTATGGATTTCAGAAATAAGATTTTATAACAAAATTAACAAATTCTAGTATTAGTTAATTTAAGTTAGTGAACTGACAATGAAAAGACGTTTATATTTTTGTACCCGGGTGATCATGAGTCACAGTCAGTGGTATGTGGCATTTTGTTTCATTCCTTTTAATCGCACCTAAAGCTGGAATGATAGGCTGACCTGGGGAAAACTTGACTGTAATGGAATTGCATAGATTTGAGTCACTGTTGGGGAGGGTGGGGTGTCTACATACCACAGTGTTAGTTACGAAGCAAGCAGAGGCCTGGTGTGTGTGAACAGATTGGCCAAATATTGTTTCTAGAGCTCACTTTGCTTATTAAAACCAAATTTTCTTAAAAATAAATGAGTTTTTTGGGTTTGAGATGGTTCTGTGCTAAGAATTCAGTTAAACTTTATCATAAGGTCTTAAAATTACCTTTGGAAGACCAATTAAAATAACATTGTTGGAGCACTGAAATGCTATTTAATTCTTTAATACAACCATCTGCCAAGAAAATCTCCGGATAACATCTGAATTTAAAAAAGAATGGTACAGAAAATCTTTTGGGGAACCACAATTATACAGATTGTTCCAAACCAAGAAGGATAAGAGTGTTTAATGAAAAATCCAAAAAGCTCATATGAATTAAGTGGATTTAATTTAAATTTCAAAACCATTATCACTAGGCTTTTTGGGTTCTTTGGGTTGATTAGTTACTACATATAACTATGAAAGACTTGAAATTTTTAAGCAAACTCCTTTGAGAGGCAATACAGCATGGTAGGTGAGCAGACTCAGCAGGATCAGCCTCTTCCTAAATGTGGGATCTATCTTGTAACTGTGTCTCAGTTTCCTCATCAGGGAAGTAAGAAAAAACAGTACCTCCCTCATAAGGTGGTTGTGAAAATTAAATGAGTTAATACACATAAAGCACTTAGAAAAATGCCAGGCACACGGTAAGCACCCAGTAAATGTAGCTATTATCCTTATTACTTTAATACCCTGAAGGCTTAAGAAAGCGCTCGTAAAAGGAAGTCCTCTTAGTTTCTCAGTTTGTTCTCATTCTGCATCAAGGAGTAGCTCTAGGAATTAGGAGACCTGTGCTCAGCTAAAAGATCCAACACTCACTACCCTTCAAGTCATTCACGAACACTGGCCAAGCAGCTGCTCCTGCCAGGCACTGCGGCGGCATCAGGCGCTATTCTGGGAGCTCTGACCTCGATATGCCACTGACATTCTAAAGCCGTTTCCTATTCTGCAAAATGGACATAACAGCTCCTTGTCTGACTCTCTAGGTTACCCTGAAGCTCAAATGAGGCAAAATGCAGGAAGCTACTTTGAAGATTCTGCAAAGCACTGTCAGAGTATGTTACAAGAATATGGTCTGGGGACAGTATGTCTAGACACTCTCAAAGGAAGTTTATGACTTGTAGTCCTAGAAGGTCTTTAAATTTTTAAAAATAAAACTGCAGGTGTTTCTTTATAACTAGAATATTGTTTATAAAATAGCAGTATGCTTTATTATAAAACTATTTCTCATCTTGAATCCCACCTCTATGGAGAATATTAACATATCAATAGTTGGTAGAGAAATAGTTTGCTTCAGAAACTAGTTGCAGAGATAATGTCAAGCCAGGTGTTTGTGGTCATAAATTATTAACTAAGTCAATCATTAGCAGTTTCATTAATTACTAAATGCTTTACAAACACAATTTCACCGAGTCCTTACAGTAGCCCCATTTTATAGGGTTAAATCCAAGCGACTGCGACTGCAGAGTCCCTGCTCTTAACCACTACATCCCGCCACACAACAGAAACACCAGCAGAAAAAGTCCTATCACCTCTGTCTTCACTGAGTCACATACTTAGAACTGGCAGATCCAAGAGCTCCAAACTGTGTTTTGATCTTTGGTAATAAGTGACTTCAGAAAAGTTGTTACATAATAAGCGCTTACTATTATTCAGCTTATTTAAAATCTTTAAAACACATTTCCAGTTTTGTTTAACAACACATTGCTCACTGAAAAGTAGAGTACAAGAAGTATTCCACCATTCAGGAGAACCACCACTCACAGTCCCTCTGCATATATTTTTATGCAGCTGTGAACTATGGCATTTAGTTGACTTTTGATGATGATTCTTAAACATGATGCCAAATACAGTGGCTGGACTGAACTTTTTTTAAGTTGGTGGATATGAACTAATGGTAAATTTTGTGCAAGCAGAAAATTATTGTATTACAGATAGCACTATATCTTCCCAAATTTTTTAACTATGGAGAAACAAGCAGAGAGTAACTTGTTTCAGTGGTATTAGAGCTCAAAAACATATTGGGCATGAGAGAAACTTCTGTGAGAAACTCTTGAGTTGACCTTTGTATCTGTGATGTATACACACATACACTCACCCACATATATTAGACCCTTTCATTAGCTGTAAGATTTATAACTTTCTCCAGGCTTGATAATACTGTAACTAAACATATTATTTGAACAGTTAAGGAGAAAACTGGTTTCTTAGGCTCTGAACTTTGCCAAAGTTACACTTATGAGTGATTAAACTATAAAGTTTTCCCTTGTGAATAGTTGTTAAATATTTGCTTGAGACAGCATGTTCAAAATTCTTTTCAGAGATCATATCAATCCAGAGTGTAAATGCAGAAAAAAAACTCTACCATTTGTGAAATGATATAAATAGTGACAGATCAGTAGAATAATTTAGGGTAAAGATTCCAGGTATTATGTCAAAGTGTTTGCAATGCCACACCCCGGGCACTGTGATTAAGGTGCTTACACCACTATCGTGGGATATCATCATCTAGCAGGAAGAAAAGCAAAAGTTAAAAATATACAGACGTTCCTATAGGAAACAGAGGCAGACAAGGGTCAAGACATTTTTAAGTAAACTTTCTCACACTTCCTCTCATGTAAGAGGTTTGTGTTAGTCATAAATTCCAGGAACCTATTTATATTGCTTTCGTATGATTTACAAAAAAATCATACTAATTATATAAATAGTATTTTGAATGTAAAAAACAATGCAGACTGGTGGCTGGGTAAGAATAAGAATGTTCATTGAGACTGCACAATGAAAGTGAAGAAATACTAACCTGAAACACTGTCCAGACAAGCGAACACTGAGAGAGTCTAAGAAATACTTTTGGATTTTTAATGTACATGAAAATGCATACTATATGTCTGTGTATAACACTAAAAAATTAATTAGCAGATATATCTGAATTAGGTTAAAATGATATAAACTTCTTTTAGAGAGTGAAACTGTTTTTAGAGAGTGAAACTATTTATGTTCTTAAATAGGAAAAGATAAAGCCAAAATATTCTCATCCTACCCAACTGGCAATGAGAAGTTCAATAATCAAATGATATTGAAAATGGCTATAGCCTATTCTTTTATTACAGAACACTTTTTTTTTTTTGGAGAGAAAAAGTTTATGAGGTAATTACATATAATTTTAGACAAAATTCCTTACATTTCTGGAGAGAAAAGGTTTATGAGGTAATTACATATAATTTTACACAGAATTCTTCACATTTCTACCTCTCTTTTAATAGCTTTAGCAGGTTACAGATTAAGTCAAAGTCATGATCTGTGTGTTTTGTTATTGCAGAGACTTAGTAACCTGAATAAAGAAGAGGTAGTATGTTCAAAACTATATTTCAAAAAAATATAAGAAAAATAGGTAGGTGATGGTGCTTAAAAGATTATACTCCAAATTCAGCACTGTTTTTGAATGGGGAAAGGCATATGACATACTGTCTATAAATATTGAGTATGGTTCACCTGATTTAAAAATACCTTGCGCTCTGATTAAATCACAAACATGTTGAATCAGTTTTAGTAAAAGCAAGAATAGGCTTTTAAATAGTTATAAAAAGAAATGATTAAAAAAATTTTCAATATCTTTTGGGGTTTTAAAAAACCCAAGTGTTATCAAATCCTTGTATGTTTCAGCCTTAATATTTGAAAGAGTAACATACTAGGATAGACTATACATATTAACAGCATGAAAGTGCATCACACTGAAATTTTCACTGTGAAGGCTTAAAAGTGATTTTAAAAAACATCACAACAAATGATTGTAATCTAAGTTCTGAATATGGGAACTGAAAATACCAAAACCGGACAAATCTGCATTTAATGCTCACAAGTAAAATGTGGATTTCTAAAACATACATACCCATTCACACCAGATTCAGCTGCCACAAGTCTTTAGCACTCGACAGTATCACAGTAATGTGTCCCTAAGTCCCTTTTCTTCTTGAAAGTCCTATTTCTGATGACCGTGCATTGTCTGGTAGGCTGTTCATTCAGAAAACAGTTAAGGGAGTGAGTCTGTATGTCCTTAGAGACTTTCCTGTATGGAGTTATAAGGCATTAATAACGGCAAGTTAGAAGAGCAAATAACATAATAAAAATAGAAATTCTCTTTTCAACTTATCTCAACTGAGAAAACTGCAGAAGAGAACAAAGGACACATTTACCCTCAGGTACTCTTTAAGCTTCTACTGTGAGGAAAGACTTCTGGGGGAGGGAGAGGCTTAGAACAGACCTTGTGCCTTGAATATCAGGTGTCCTTATACCAACATGTGGACTCAGGTTCTCTCTAAAGTTACTGGGAAATTTACACATTTAAACGTGATGCTTGCTATTAATAAAGGTAGAAAAAGTTAGTTAAAACACTTGGTATCATTACTGTTATCAGTAATCACTGCAAATTATCTCATGATAATATTCTGTAGGCGTGGACTTAAGTTGTGTGCCAAATAGCAGCATAGGTTACAACATCGCAGTTCGGATGATGGTCAATGACTTCGCTGGTACACAGCCAGAATGAAGGAATTTGTTTATAATAAATAATTAAATAAGAAGCATAGTTGTACTTTCGTATCAGTTGCTAGAACTGAGCAGTGGGTTTCTTGGTATCCAGAGGCAGGAGCAAAGTTTCCTGTCATAAGTTAGAGTGACGGAGAGGCGGGAGAACAGGCAGCGCAGAGCCGGCCGGTTGCGGGGCAGCTGCTAAAACACGTACTTGAGCTCCACCGGAGCTACGCGTCCTTGCTGCGCATCGCTGATCTGTAAAGGCTGCCTGAACAGGAGGCCCTTCATCATACAGGCACTGCTGTCTGTGCCACAGTAATAGAGAAACACGCTGATAGATACAACGGCTTCAGGTGACAAGCAATCCCCAGGAATCTGCAGTGAGATGGCTGGTTGGTTGGAGATGCTCTCTATTTCTCCAGATGGCACCTGTCCTTGAAGGAGCCATTCATTGCCTAAAAAGTAAAAAGGTAAATCATTAAGACTGTATAAGAAAGATAAAAAGTATTCAGGAATATAATATGAAAACTATAGAACAATCTAGGGAATACAAATGTATGTCTGATTCTGCAGTGACTTGTAAATTAAGATTACGATAAATTATTGACTATCCAAAATTAATAATAAAAAAATAACACTGATTTCTTAGAAATAAGTAACACTACATATATAATTCTAATGTAAAAATTAAGAGATTTTTGTCTACCTCTTTACTACATAAAACTCTTCCAAGAGTCTTAAATATATAGATTATCTACATAACAAAAACCTAGGAAATGACTAAAAACTTTAACCTTCTAGTATTGAAACATTTGAAATGTCTTTATTCATCTAGTGCCTTCTGTCAGAAGGAACACATGCATATACTGAGGAAGCATGTGCTTAGAGACATTCAGCTTTAGAGGGGGTTAGAAGATACCCAGAGCCAGCCTCTGGAAAGTGCAGGACCTGCTTTCCTGCCATCTTAAATGAACCCCCTGAGCATAACCTAATGACTTATCAATGGCTCGGGCCATCTGTGCAAAAACCGAACCACCTACTGAGTAGTGATGAGATTCTAGGCCTATTCTTTAGCTTTCCTGTCTCTTTCTTTTGACCTCAGGATGAGCCAGAGCTCAGGGCACCTGACTCTCTCTTGGGTTCCATCTCTCTTTTAGTTGACTGAGTCTAATATTCTACTGACTGAAATCAAATTTGAGAAAAACATGTCAAATAAAAAGAGTAAGGAGAAGGTGAAAGGTGAGAATCTAAACAAACAGTTAAATCCAGAGCTTTTATGCAGGAACTTTTAAACAATTATTTTAAAAGTATCTTTAAAATTCTTTGGCCTTCTTTATTTCTGGACTAAGTAAGTATACGTTCTATTGAATGTTTGATTTTGCTAAACAGCAGGTTGGTGAGGAACTTCTTTTATTTTAAATCAAACAACAATGTAAACTGGGCTATTTTAATGTCTAAGTCTACAAATAAAACAAAAATGTTTCTTTAGATATCTTTCACCTACATCATACATGGAATCTGTAAAGTTATAATACGCTAGTAGTGCTTTTATGCTGGGTGGTTTTTGTTTTTTTTTGCTTAAAACCTTCACATATGCTGAAAACTTTAAGATTATACAGACCAAAATTTAGTTAAAAATAAGTGATTCTGTCTCTAAATAACTGGCCAAGGAGGACAAATGTCCTTTAAGCATAGTTGTACAAATGTACCCTATAAAATAATTTTCAAAAATCTTAAATTATTGGGATTCTTGCCTGAAGCCTTATTTGGTTCTATACAATATAATGGAACCGATATCTTTGACAAGTGATAAAGCTAAGAACTGGCTCTATAGACTACTTCACTTTCCTTTAACACTACCCATATTTATATTCCAATGACTCAACATTAATTTGTGTGTTTGACAGAGTAGAGTTATAGTAAGCATGTTAATGTGTCAATATCCTATTTTAAAAATCAACACACTGCTCTATAATTTCCCACAGAAGTTAAATTAACAGTGATCTCCAATTGGTGCAATGTGTCCAGACTAATGGACATGGGCAGAGCAGCTGAACTGGCCATTGAGAGCCTGCCTGAACCTACGGAGGAATGAGAAATGGTCAGGGTCTGAGTACTCTTCTGTACACAAAGAGAGCTCCAAACACTCTCCTGAAGCTTCATGGCTTGGCCCTCTTCTGTGGGGGGAGTAGGGGTGGCTTCCTCACAGGCTCAGTAACCCCAGAGCCAGACTCCCAAGCACTAACCCAGCAGCTCTTCCTGGCTGGCCTACTAAGTTCTCTCTGCTCTCTCGGTGTGGACACCAGGTGGGTTGTTGCAGGACAGTTGCTGTCGCCCTGAGAAAGCACCAAGGTAAGAAGGCATAGAGCCTGGATCTGGGTAACGTACACAAGAAAAGTGTGTAAGAGGGTACGAGGGAGGACGGTCAGGGAGGAAATGGAAGATTGAGTGAGAACATGTGAAAGAGCGTGGGAGACTAGGACGGAGGAAGATCACGAGAGATCAAGAAGTCAGAGTTTAGTTCTAGACGACTAATATTTTACTTTCAAATTAGTCCAGTCGGTTAGAGATGCTGGAGAGCACTGCTGTAAGGCAGGCAGGACACTGATTCCTCACTGTAAATAAGTTCACACTGAATGAAACACACATTCAAATCTTTACATAATTTACAGAAACTGAATACATTGAGAAGAGGCTCAAACAGGAAGCATTTGTAGGTGAACAGGTCACAAATATTTATCAGTGAGGACAAAGGCTCTGCCTGGATTCTGATCACAGTAATTCATTTTTATTCAATTATATATCTTCCAATGTTTTATTCTTCTACTTGAATGGCATACTTTTAAAATATGGCTTTGGAATCCATTTTCCTGTAGTAAGCAAGTAATGGAGCATAAATTCTACATCTGGCGTCTTTAAGGAAGAAAATGCTGCTTCAGGCTTAATAACTGGTAAGTCAAGTTTTGATACTATTATATTGAAATAAAATAAACAGCAATTGAAAGCTCTAAAACATTTGATAGATGCTATCTGGAAAAGCAAAAGATAATAAAACAACCAAAGAAATGAACTGGAAAGAGCTCATGTCAAGTTACTTCAGTTAAAAGAAAGCATATATTTTTAAAAAATATCATACTCAAGAGAATATGTGAGAATTTTTGAGAATATGTGAGATTCTATTACTGTATCACTGAAAGGTATAGTGGTAAACACAATTAATACTGGATCAGGACTCCAGAGACCTAAGCTGATGGTGAATTACCTGCCACAGTAGCAGACCTACTTATTACACTACTCAGTCAACTCACCTATACTGCCTGCACCCTGTGGCTAAACTTGGCTGGAAAGAAACAGCCTCCGGAAGGACTAGTCTGGCTTTCCATTCATGACAGGTAGCCTCAAGCTATTCAGCAATCACACTGTATTTCCCTCACTGACTCACCCTCCCATCCTCATCTCTTTAAACCTCCAAAACCTCCTCCCCTCTCACTCCCTCAGTTGATGGCCTTGCTTCCGGATGTACTAAGAAAACACAAGCATCAGAGAAGAGCTTCCACAAGCAGTTACCTCCACAGCTACCCATCTGGTCTCTGGGTCACACATGGGGCCTTCTCTCCTTACTGGGCAAGTGTCCACATTCCTGCCAAAGGCCAGTCTTCTGCTATGCACTGGGTCCGCCCCCCTCACATCCTAAAGGATACCCACCCCACCACATTATCATCAACTCTCTACTGGATCTTTGCTGTCCATAACTTGCTATTCTCTTAACTCCACTCCTCCTCCTAGCAACTGCTCTATTTCCTCTTATCTTTGTAGCTAAACCCCTGAGTTATCTGTATTTGCTTTCTCCCGTTCTTCTCCTTCTGCTCTTCTTCAACCTGCTCTAATCAGGCATCTCCTCCATCTCTCTGAATCGGCGCTGGCTGAGGACAACTAACTCTGCAACACTGAGTCAGTGATCAGCTCTTAGTCCTTACCTTACCAGTTCTACTAATAGCATCTGACACCGATGGTCACTCCCTCCTTAAACCATTGGCTCCAGGAAACTGCACTCTCTGGGTCTTGCTCCCACTTGCGTCCCTGGTCCCTCCCCCGCCTCTGCTGTCTGCATGTTGGGAGTGCCCGAGCACAGTGCCACCCCAAGGGCACTCGTGGACAGGTGCTCACCCACAGACCATGATGAGTTAAATACAGGAACTGAGAGTTAGGTTTAGAAACCCTCATAACATCCCGATGGGTAATTGGTGGGGCTTTGAACTTTGTCTTTTTAAAAACTGAAATTAATTTTTGGGCTAAAAACCCTAGAGCTAGTTTGAGAGAGACTAGCACAATGGAAAAGACACTAAACTAAGAACAAGCAGAACTGGGTTCAAATTCCATTTTTTACCTAATTCAACATATGCCCTTAAGCATTTACCATAATCAGCATAATAAGCATTTATTACAATCACTTTATCTCTTTGAGCCACTAGGCCCCTCATCACAGAGGTGCCGTGCCTCTCACTGCTCTAACATTTGAGGACCTGTCATTCTGAGACCACAGAGGCTGGCCTCAGGTGATGGACTCACCCAGGAGCAAATAGGGGCATTTATGATTGATAAGCTAGGATGAGTTGCACAGTCTTTAATAAGAGAGAGAAAAGAATTTCAAAGACTACAGGAAACTGCTGAAGTGGGGCTACATCTGGATCTATTTTGTACGACTCCCCTCAAATCCTGCCCAACTAGAGTAAAAATACCTTATACAAATGAGAAAGATCCCTAGATTACATGTCACGAATTTACGGAATATTTGCACTTGCGAGATTATTTGCATACCTTCGGCTGTTAGAAACCAGCAACTGGGTGCTCCTTCAGTGAGCTTCGTTCCTGAGGGGAGGTCTAACCTCAGCTGGAACCGCAGGGTCTGTCCCGGAGATGCAGCCGTGGGGGAAAGCTGAATGACTGGGGCTGATTTTGGTAATTTGGGTACCGTCATCTGTTTTTCTACTAGGAAAGGGCCGTCTACCATAGCATTTCCCGAGCTGGAGACAGTGAGCTAGGAAATAAGAAAACCTGTTTGTTCAAGCACAGGTAGTTTAAAACCACTGTAGAGTGAGAGTTTATTTTTAGACTTCAGGCTAAAATGAGGTTCAGAAATATATTTCATCTGGCAAAAAAAATTACCAACACTTATGAATGAAACAGAATTGTTTAATATGTTTATAGATGAAAGGAAATTAAAGTAAAACTATATTAACTTAAATGTAGTGGATATAATATACATCCTCTTGTAATTTTCACTGCCAATTGTATGATGTCATTTGTCTTAGACCTGTTATGAGAAATGGCATTTATGTTACGATGACAATCTGTTTTTATTTTAAAACATATCTTGGAAATTCCTAGAATTTTAGAGAAAACTAACCCTTGCATTTTTCAGGCAGATGTGATACATCAAGGAGGAACTTAAAAATTTTATTAGAGACCATATGTGTATCTTTAAAAATTGATTAGAACTTATTTTTCTTTCATTTCCAATGTCTTGAGAAATGTGGCTTCTAGAGCTGCCTCTGAAAGACTATTTGATAATGGACTCACTGTGGGAAACAAAGATTACATGTTAATCTAAGATTCATTAAAAATAAAACTAAACAACCCAACCACATAGTATGCCTACCTTTTTAAAAACAGAGCCACTGTCTTTTTTTTTTTCCTTTTCTCAAAATTCATCAAATTCTTTCCAACTTCCAGCATCTTTCTCACTCTTGGCACATATGGCATTTTTACTTTAAAAATAATATGATATCCTTCAGACAGACATTCACTTACCACTCTACCTACATGCCTCACTTTCATCACTAGAGGTGGACGAACCAAAAGTGCCTGTCAGTGCTGTGGACCTTAGAATCACTCATAAAATGATACCCTTCTTGTACTTTAAGATTACTTACCACAGAGACTGTTTTTGTTTCTAAATCCATCACTTTAATCTGATGATTATTCGTGTCTGCTACGTATAATAACTGGCCATTCTCTCCAATACACAAGCCTCCTGGTTCATTAAAGGTTGATTCGGTAAAAGTGGAACTGACATTACTTGCATCTCCAGTTCCTGCTAATGTTGTACAGTTTTTTGTTTTTGGATCCACAACTTTAATCTAAGAAGAAAGAAAAAAAATTATATATATGAAGCTCAAGCTCATGTTTGTAGTATAGAAAACTATAGTACACAGTACCAAGCAAACCAGAGAATTTGTCATTAGTGTTCTTAAAAAAAAATTGCAAGAAAAAAACAGGCATTTCCGTATTTTCTTGAAAAAGGCAAAACATTCCAATTATAGTCTAAGGGGAGATACTCCATTCTGAGCTGAAAAATATGTAAAGTCCCCAGTTACATCTTGTCCTCTGGAAGTAACCTTTGATGAATTTATGAAATTAAAAAAAAATTTCAAAGTGTTACTCTTTTTTCTCACAATGGGACATAATTGAACTGACTTTCTCAGGAGCATCTACACTGGCTGAGGATTTGCTACTTAGGTTAAACTTAATGATTCCTGTTGTCTCAACTGTATTAAATTTATAGTCTCGCATCACAAAATATTAATATTTATTTTCCACAGATTTTTATAAAAAATATAAATAGTTGGATAGTAAATGAAATGCTGCTTTTAATTCCGTTTTAACATAATTATTTGCTAATAGGGGCTGCAACTATATAACAGCTCAAAAATGTTCATTTGTTAAATGACATTAATTTCTGTGCTACCTGCCTTCTCTGTATTTCCTGAATTTACTACGCAGCTTTGATGGGTTGCAATTCACAGTTCTGGCCACAGCCATTGGGAATGTGTTTATTGATCCTTCCCCAGCTCAGAGTACCATCCTACCCTTTGCAAAGACAGGACCAAGAAAAGAACAGAGAAGCCTTATATATAGTTGTCAAAGACTGTTATTCCTCTTTGTAGTTTAGAATGGCAATTGTAGGAGGCTCACAGATTTTTCAGCATTTTAAATGCCACAGATGAAAAGCAAGGTATTATATAATTCTGTCAAGACTCACCTTGTGATTATAAGAGTCTGCCACATAAAGTAAATTCCTTTTCTTGTCCCACGTTACTCCAAGTGGATGCTGAAGCTTTGCACTGATTCCCACTCCATCAACATCACCAAAAGCAAATAAATTCTTTTTTTAAAAGTAAAAAAAGTACGTATTAAAATTTCTACAGTGTTTTGTTAACATATAAAGTGAAAATTAAGATGGCTGTATATGCTACTTAAATTAAAGGGGAGAAGATCTGATTTCATATAAATAGTGCTGGGCATTTGATTCCAACTAGAAAAAAATGGTAGAATTTTGAACCTGTATTAATTTGTGGTGGTTAGCAGTTTTACTGACAATAATGACGAACAGAAACGGGCCAAGTCTACCAACCTGCTTTCCACCCTCCTGCCAAATACCTCATTTACTTTCCTCTTCTCTCGTGAATCAATATTTTATCCTTCCTTTCTCTCTGAAGCCTTAATATTTATATATTATTAAGTACAGTTAGTTTACTTTTCCTAGATGATTCTGTGTTTCTTTATTTTCACATTTCCTTTTATTTGACTCCCACTTTAACCTAGGGGTAGGCCAAGAACATGCTCTCCTAAATTTAATGAACTACTCGCAGTTCAGAAAATTGCAAGCTGGTGAGTGTTGGGCACACTGTGTAGCAGGGGCTTCATTACCATGGGATCTCTTTCTCCTCCTACAAGGTGCTTCACTGCTCCATCTTTCAGTGAGACGGTTCTCACCGTGCTGCTCTCACTATCAGCTACGAACAGACAGCTCCAGGGATCTTCTGAGGCCAGAGAGAGACCTGAAGGTTGGGCAAAACCTGCCTTGTGAGGATATGCATTATTTCGATTCTCTTCATTTCCACTTCCAGCAAACCGAAGGCAGGTTCCTTTTTTTAACTCACTGAAAAAGACAGGTTCATAGGTGAAGTCAACATTGTTTTATTGTGTCCAATTTAGTTATTAAACAAATGAGCGTACAATCAATGGTGATAAGCATTGTAAAAAAAAAAAATCTAGAGATCCTGACTCAGTTAAATAGTGCAAATCAGTTTTTCTAACCATTATTTATTCACTGTGTAGGGACATCCCCTTTCTACTTTTGACATACATAAGACTGAAACTACTCTCAATGGTCAGATAGGAAATCCTGACAAGGTGAAAATTATAAGAATAATGATCATATGATTGATGGGATGTATTTTTTCCTTAAAATGGTCAGAGATAGCTACAGCTGGATCCCACCTTAACTTCTTAACTTCATGCTATATTAGGTCCTGAAAGAGAACTTAAAAGATTATCTTGCTCTTGATAGTTTAAAGCTTAAATTTCCATTAAAAATGTTTTGTTTTTGTGTACATAGTAGAGACTGGCAAGAGGAACTGAAAGAATCCTTGGAAAGACAACCCCGTGAAGCATTACCCATTTTAAGAAACAAATATAGAATGATTACACTGCTATAACTAATCAATTATACAAATCAATTTCTTATATACACCAGGGAAGTTTCTACTTAAAAGATAATTGCAGTGATTTCTTGTGTAATGCGGAGAAAGTTTTACACCGTGGTTTCTGAGTTTATGCTGCGGAGTTTCTGAATTTATGTAAAGAAAACATGGTGGTGTCTTATGTTGAGGAAAGGGCAGAAGCTGTCTCACAGGTAAAATAATGAGGGACTATATGCACATCACATCCAAATATGGTACAACATGCGAAAGTTTAACGTGACCATTAGTCACCCTTTGGGTGCTACGTTCCCACTGCTCAGATGGGTAGGGAGCCAAGGATGAAGGCGGAGGGATATGGAATGTATAAAATATGGCCACTTACTCAAGGAACTTGTAAAAATAATCTAGTTAGAGGAACACATCTAAGAACATGTCAATAACATGTCAAACAAATAAACTAAAGGTAATTACTATAAGCAGTCTTAATCTAAAAAGGAGTTCCCTTAAGAGATAGAAAGAGTGGAGAGAAACAGTACATTCTAAAATGTTAGGAATCATTATTACTTGAAGATCAGTAACAAAGAAAAAGCATCCTTAAAATTATGATACAGGTCAGTGTGATCTGGGTGGACACTTTCCTAATAAGAATGAGAGTGACCACTCTACTTATTTGGAAATTTAGTCCACTCTTGGCCATCTAGGTCCAACATAATCATCACTGAGAACATTCTGGCTACCTCTATTATTTCTTTCTGCTGTTTAAATTACGTCTCACGTAAAATGTTACTGGTCACGTCACTGGAAAGGGTCCTTTCCTTTCAGAGGCAGTCTAGTAAGATGAAATAGTTAACAGATAAGTGCAACCAGAAACAGAGGAGAGACAGAGGAAAAGAGGTGGGGAGGGGAAGAGAGAACAAACTTACCAGGGCAGTGATATAACTACGTAAGCAGTACGGTGAAATTACAGACTACGATCAGTTCTACCTGGGGTGTTAGGAAGAAGAGGAAAAGCTCTATCGAAAAGATGTAAGAAACTTTGTAGAGACACCACTCTTCATCTTTATATGCCCATCAGTGGCAACAAAGCTACGACCATTACACTGAATATGCCGGGCATTAGGCTGAGCTCTTCACACGCATTATTAATTCTCAGACAAGCCGAAGAGGGAGATAGAAATAAGGGAGCTGAGGCTTAGAGAGTTGAAGTGGCTCCTCTAAGCTCACACAAAGAGTAAATGGCAGAGCCAGGATTCAAGCTCAGGCCTGATTACAACACCTGAGCTATTAACCACTGTGCTTTCCAGTACGCAAATACCTGGATTAACAATTGGGGACATGTGAACTGCCTGTTAAAGGAAAGCGCTCACCAAATGTCTCCAGTTCTTTCTGGACGCTCGGTGCGGTTGCTCGTCCAGGTTCCTTGAAGTTAGGTGTGGCAGTGAGACTGACTTTGGCTGATGAAATGTAGTAGAAGTGATGTGTCACTACTGAATAGAAGCTTTGAGAGCTAGGAAGCGACTCACCACCCCTCTCTCTGCCAGGATGGCTGGCAGGGCTATAGAGGGTGGCTACTGCATCAGCCTGTGTGGCAGAGCAGTGCTCTCAGTGCACCTATGTGAGTGAGCCAAAAACCAAGCCTGTCTTAAGCCACCAAGAATCTGGGCTGTTATGATGGTATATATATCCCAGCATCTCCGACCAGTACAGTGAGTGCCGAGGGGCTGGAGACTTGGGAAAGGGAATTCTGTGAACTCCAAGTTGTGCAGTTGACCCAAAAGGAGATGCTGCCACTTACTTTTTCTTTGGTAGTCGGCCAGAGTCCAACAGGAGTGCCCATATCTGATGAGTCCCTGCCATGGCTATCCACAGAATGTCACCTCTTTGGACCTCTGAACCTTTATAAAAATAAACAGTAAATATTATGTCCATATTTGGTTAATAAAAAAACACCACTTTTTTGAGAAATTTGAATTAAGGGAAGACAGCAATATGTTTATAAATCATCTGAAACAGTAAAATTATTGCAATGTTTTAACTTGTTTTTGAAAATTTTCTAGTCCCTTGCCTTTCCATTTTTGGTTTGGTTTGGCTTATCAACATCTCTTTCTGACTTTTATGATGAGACTCCATTCTTATAGCAAACAATGAAAATAACACATATATTAAAACATTTCTATGTGCAAGCACTCTTCTAAGTGCTTTCCATATATACTCATAATTCTCAGAAAAGCCTTTGAGATAGGTACTATTAGCATCTTCAATTTAGATGAGGAAGTTGAGGCATAAAGAGTCTAAGTACCTTGTCCAAAGTCACACGACTACTGAGATGTGAAACTGGCTGCAGAGTCCATGCTCATAACCACCATGCTATACTGTCTTTCAAGGAGTTTTTACCCTGCCTGGTCATTTTTCTGAGGGCTGAAGAGTTTCTTCTTATAAATAAAATGAGAGTTAAAAAAAAAAAAAAGGTAGTTTGGCATTTAAAATGTTTATCAAACTAACAAGAGTCATGTTAATAATTTGTACTGTTTGTCCTGGATTTTAAAATCTAAAGTACACTGCTGTATCGCTGAGTATGGATATTAGTTTTGTTCCTTCTAATAATCATGAACATTTCCATTTTAAATGAAGAGAATGCTTAGTACCACTGACTTTCAACAGTCACAAATAAAAAATAATAACAGGATAATGCCAAAAGCTAAAAAGGTTTTTGGAGTAAAGGCAAAACCCTTCATAATTATCAATACGGATTACTGAAATAGTTTCAGAAAATAGGAATAAAATCAGCAAATGAAATATGAAAATGAAAAAATTACCTGCAATCCAGCTTTTCAATATTCTGTGGTATTTTAAGCAACTATGATCAAAATAGAGTCCACTGACTAGAAGCCTCTTAATGGCATCTGTGGAATAGTCCATTAGCGTAAATAGCTTTTCTCCGTAGTCTCTAAACCTCCTATGAAGCAAAGCCTTTAGCCACTAAGAAAAAGCAGCAAAGCCTGTCACCCCCAGGGCACAGGAAACTGACCAATTCGAGGACTGGAAGAAGGGCAGAAGAAAAAAAATCTCTCTACCTCTGGGGGAGGGGCAGGGAATGGGCTCTGGCCAGACTCCATAGTGACACCAAGCAGACCTTCCCCTGCTGGGGGAAAAGCAAGAAACTCTTCACAGCCACTCATAGATACAAGGCAGAGTTTAGCTGCCAGAGAGAGAAGGAAAAAAGCTCCCACCTCCTTTCATGGACCCCAGGCACACAGGGCCTTCCTAAGACTGAAGTCGATCAGAACAGAGAACAGAGAACAGTCCCTTAGCTCCATCCGATGCAACCACGCAGATGATGACAAACAGCAGCAGGTTCTCTCATGGAGCTGCAAGGGTGGGGAGAGAGCCACTGCGGTTCCCTGCACAGGGCGGCTGAAAGCCGAGGCGGAGTACTAACACTGGGCAACCCCTCCAGCCTCTAGAGCCCCGCGCTTAGGCAACACCAGCCGGCAGCCAGAGGAATTCAAAGCTGCGGTGAGCTGACAGAACTCACAGCACTAATAAAACCCGGCTCCAACCCAGCTTCTGACTACATTGGCCCAACCGCTCATAATAATTGTATCAATACTATGGATCTCAGCCTCTGTAATTCCACACAAGATGACTGAAATTTAATCAAAATTGAAAAGACAAAGTAAGCAAAAAACAAAACAAAACCCAACTACTCAAATAAAACAACACACACACACACAACCCCATCAAAACCAAACAAAAAAACATTTTCAAGAGAAAAAGCAGTCAATAGAAACAGACCCAGATCACCTGAAATCTGGAACTACATGACATGGACTTTGAGGTTACTATGCCTACTATGTCAAAGAATCTAGAGAAAAAGGTGGCCAACATAACTAAATGTGGGGAATTTCAACAGATGGATGGAATCTAAGAAATAGTAATATGGAAATGCTACAAAAATATCAGATGAAAAATTCTTTCAATAGACTCATCAGTTGACTAGACAAAGCCAAGGAAACAATGACCCTAACAACAAATCAATAAAAATTATCCACATTGACACACAAGGAGGAATAAAAGGGTAAAATAAAAAGAATACAATATGTAAAAAGTGCTACATATAATATCAGAGTCTAACATATGAGCATCTGAAATCCCAGAAAGGAGAAAGGAACAGAAAAAATATTTAAGGAGATAATGGGTGAGAATTTTTTCACAGGTAATGAAGGATGGTCAAAACTCAGACTCAAGAATTCTAAGCAGGTTAAATTCTAGACATATCAGTCAAACTGTTGAAAACCAAAGAGAGAACCTTGAAGGCAAAAGAAAAAGATACGCACTTTGTATACAAAGGAACAAGGAAAAGAAATAAATCAGACCTCTTATTTAATACTATTGTAAGCTATAAGACAATGGAATGACATCAGTAAAGTATCAAAGAAAAAAGAGTGAATCCAAACATACATGGAGTAAAGATATCTTCCAAAAATATCTAGACTCCCTCCCCCTCTCCCCCCAAAAAAGGCCAAGAGAAATCACTGGCAGCAGCCATCTGCTACAAGAAATGTTAAAGGAAGCTCTTCAGGCAGAAATATTATTATTCAAGGACACTTGGGACTCTTAGGAAAACAGCCACTTTGGCAGTTTCTTACAGAATTACACTTTTATCATATGATCCAGCAATTTCATTCCTAAGCATTTTCCAAAGAGAAATAAAGACATATATCCCACATAAAACCTATACATGTGTTTATAGAGGCTTTAATAATAATTGCCATCAACTAGAGGCACCCGAAATGTTTATCAATTGATGAATTAATAAGTCGTGGCACAGCCAAACAATGAAATACTACTCAACAATAAAAAAGAACCAACTATTGATACAAGCAACAACATGGATGAATCTCAAAAGCATTATGCTAAGTGAAATAAACCAGATATAAAAGACTATATACTGAGGAACAAGAAATGCATTGTTGTCAGTGGTTGGAGAGGGAGTTGGAAGTTATGGGAGGGAGACTGAGCAAAGGGTCATGAGAGAACCTTTTGGGGTGATGGAAATATTCTATATCTTGATTGCAGTAATAGTTATAAGACTGAATATATTTTTCAAAAGTCATATAACTTATACCTAACAGAGTGAATATTACCTTCTATAAATAATACCTCGTTAACATGGCCAGAAACAATCTTAAAAAACCTTGTAAACACCAATTCAATGTGACAAGGTAGCATAAGAGTCATCTCTCAAGTTTTAGACATAAAAATACAACTGCTTATAGTTTAATAGAATAAAAATACACAAGTCACATTGTATAAAATTTATTCCTCAAAAAATTCTGTACATCTGATTATTTTTAGAGAATCAATGTTTTGTATGGCATTTTATAGCATATTAATGGCACTCCAAGAAACATTATCTAGGCACATAAGTACCAACACTGTAGATTATAAGACTAGCATACTCAATAGTTGAATTTTGATCATAAAAGGTTGTATAAGAACAGCTAAACTTCTATCTAGGGAAAATACTGATTAAAAGGCTAAGGAGGGTTAATGGGATTCGGCCACATTATCCTTCCTATAAATGATTCTAAATCAGGTAAAGTCTACTTAGACTAGCAGGGTTTTAAACTTTATGATAAAAAATCTCTCAGGTTATTGTCTGACATGAGTGCAGGCATGCATTTTAGAAACATGGTAGAGTTTCTGCTGAAAAAATGAATTTATTGTAGTTAGTAATTATTTTTAGTACATTGTGTGGTTCTAACAGTATTTAAAAATCAACAAAGATGAAACAATCACTTTTGTAAAAATCACTTTATGTTAATTATTTTATGCTTTTATCACTGTAATGGTATAATTAGGTTAATTATTCAGACACTGTTTAAAATACATAAAAAACACATTTACATATTATGTATATATGGTTAAAATAATCAGAGGTATTTCAAGTCCCTTTATTTATTAACTGGGTCTCTTGGTAGAGTATACATTTAACTATGTATCAGTCCTTATTATTTTTCATTGTCTTTACCTAATTTATTCTGTTTCCTTTTTAGGTTTAATTTTTAATTAAATATGGATATGAATGGATACATGTTATAAAGTTTAAATAATAACTAAGCATCCAGATGCACACCACCTAGCTCAAGAAAAAAAACATTTGTGCATTCCTCTATGACTATACACCCTCCTCTTTTCAGAAGGAACCACCAGTCTAAAAAATTTTTTTCACTTATTTTTTAGTTTTACTATGTCTGGATTGATCTCTCAATATAAAATAAGTCTTGCTTGCTACTAAACTTTCTATAAAAGAAATCATATTGTAGGTGAGAAACAAGTCTCATAAGATTGTATTTTTATGAAATACATAATATGAAACAAGATACACAAACATATAAATATATTGAATGTGATTTTATATGTTGATATATTTTTTAATGAATGACATGTTGCCAAATATAATTTAGTAAAAACAATTACTAAAGAGAGCAAATATTCTGATCCAATTTCCCATACTCTGACAATACATTAATCCAGGATTAGATTTTATAGCAAATGAGTGGCTTTTAAAATGTTTTTGGGTTATGTACCACTTCGAAACTCTGATGAGAATCTGACCAATTCCCAAATCTTAAAAAGAATTTCTGGGAAGTCTGAGTACTTTACAAAGCCTAACCATGAATGCCTGGGCATGTAACTCAAGGTTAAAAACTCTTGGGCTAGAGTAGTCATTATGATTATAGGTCCTTTACACAGTGCTTGGAAACCTTTCTCTCTTAGCCAGCATTTTGAAAGGTGTTGAGCTTAAGTGCATTCAAGATGACTCCTCTTGCCAAGTACCTGAAGTGAAGCTTTTTTAAGCTGTGAGTTAAATGAAGAGCCACATGCTTATAATGATCTGCTGTGCTAAGTAAGGTGGGACTCACTTCTTTTATTGAAAACTGAGCTTAATAATGACACAAGCCTCAGAGAGCATGTCACTCCAGCTGGAAGCTGAGGGAGTACTTGTCAATAGAGCCAAGATTTTCCTTGGAAAGCAAGTTGGGTGCATTCTCAATACAAAACAAACAACCAGAAATTCCATGCCATAAAGTACGACTGAAAAACTTTTAGCCTAGAAAAATATTTAAGCACTCCTTAGCCATTAAATAAATCCAACTTAGTAAAGCATCCAGTAAAGTACATCCTGTTTATAAGCACTGTAAATTCTGATATATGTGACAGATTGAATTACTGGTCTCAATTCTTCACTCCTCTGTAGTAATGTTATATACCCACCCCCCTGACTTGGCCTCATTGTAGGTAAGGTGCCCATCCCTGCCCCATAACTTTGAGCTTAGTTGTGCAACTTGCTTTAATAAAAGTAGGTAAACTGATATGACATAGCAAAGGCTTAATGTGTGTGACTGGGCTTACTCTCTTGTGCTCCTGCCTTTTGCCAAAAGCATATGCTCGGGAAGCTGCTGTCCACGGAGGAGGAGAAGCAATCGGAGCACATGCGCACCAAAGAAACACCGCACACTCCTGCGGACTCGGCTTCCACACAGCTCATAAACGCAAGCCACAGGCATAAAAGTATAGTCACTAGCAACAGAATTAACCCAAATGAACGTCCCCAGAATATTTTTAAAATCTTGCATTTATTAAGCAATGTTTACTTACATTTAATATTAAAAGTTTACATACCTGATGATCCTAAAACTACATCCCATGGGGAACTGATGGGCTGCTGCTCTCCCTCAGCTCCACCTTCTTTATCTGCACCTTGGATCCCGATGCCAGCTACGGTGCTCACCGTCTCAGCGTCTAGGTCGATCTACAGGAATTAGTGCAAGTTTTATGCAGTGCACGTTCCCTTTTATTTATTTTTTTGGTACATGAGGGTTTCCAATAAAATATATAGAAAGTATTTGCAACACAAATACTCTTAAAAAAAAAAAAAAAGCTTAAATCCCTGGGATTTAGTGGGAAAGAAGGATGAGTAAGTGGAATGGGATTTTTAGGGCAGTGAAACTATTCCATGTGATACCACAGAGGTCAATATTTTGCATTAAGTGTAGCTACAGGCATTTTGTAAACACCCTTTATCATATGCACAATGTTCATTTCCTTTTTAAGTTTACTAATTTTATCACTAATAGGTATTAAATCTTTTAAAATGTTTTTCTGAATACATAATCATACAGTTATGATCTTTTATTCCTTTACTACAGTGTATTACATTGACTTATTTTAGCAATATCCTCTGGCATTATTTTTAGTGGCAACTCTATAATCTCTTGAAATTGTAAAGAAAATTATTAAGGTAACCTTATCTATATATTTTACTGAACTCAGTAAAAGCAACAGGCAGCTAGGGATAAGGCCTGTGAAATAATCTTCATTTAAGAAATGTATCATAGAAATTGATATGACACTCAAAGAATTCCTCTTGCAAAAGGCCTCAGGTCCAGGTGATGTTATTGGGGTATTTTAATGAATGTTCAAAAACCATTAATTCGTACATTAGACAAAGTATTCCAAAAATTTTTTAAAAGCACCAAAAAAACTAACCTTGATAGTTTTGAAATCAAGATTAGTGTGACCTTGATTCCAAAACCATTTAATTTATGAACATGAATTTTTAAATATTAAATATAATTTTGGATAATTAAATCCAACTTAAGTTTTAAAAAAATTCATCATTAGATAAGGTTTAGCCTAGGAATAAAAAGATGGTTTAACATTAAAAAAAAAATCTATTAATATAATTCATCACATCAACACACTGAGGGCAAAAAATTTACACAATTATTTCAATAAATGTAGAAAATGTACTTCATAAAATTATATAATAAAATAATTCTTAGTAACTAGGTATATAAATAAAGTTTCTTAACTTCATAAATATTTTTTCCCAAAGTTACAGAAAATACTAAACTTTGGAGAAAATTTACGTGCATTCCCTTTAAGATTATAAGCATGACAAAATACCCACTATCACTACTAATGCTTAAAAGCAAGTGAGGCTCTATCCAGCAATATAATAAAAGAAAACAAGAAGTGTATAAATGAGGAAAATATAAACCTGCCATTTGTTTTTTGCAGACAACAAAATTATTTTTACAAAAACAGAAGTTTTTGCAGAAATGGATAAACTGATCCTAAAATTCATAGGGAACTGTAAGGAACCCAGAACAGCCAAAACAATGTTGAAAAAGAAGACCATGATAAGACTCATACTTAACTGATTTAAAAACTTACTAAAAGTTACAGCAATCAAAAGTGTGGTATAGATCAATGGAATAGACTTGAAAGTCCAGAAATAAAACCATGCATGTATAAATAATTGATTTTCTACAAGTTTGCCATGATTACTCAATGGAGAAAGAATAGTCTCTTCAATAAATGATTCTGGGCAAAGTGAATATCCACATGCAAAAGAATGAATTGGATCCCTGCCTCACACCATATATAAAAATCAATGCAAAATGGATCAAAGACCTAACTGTAAAAGAACTATGAAATTCTTAGGAAAAAAAATGAGTAAATTTTTGTGGCTTTGTATTTGGCAATGGATTCTTACATGTGATACCCAAAGCATAAGCAATGAAAGAAAAAACAAACTGGGAATCACCAAAATATAAAACTTCTGTGCATGAAAAACATATTTAAGAAAGTGAAAAGGCAACCTACAGAATGTAAAAAAGTATTTGACATGCATGTATTTGATAAGGGATTTGTAGCTAGAATATATAAAGAAATCTTACAACTCAATAATAAAAACACACAAATAACCCGATTTAAAAACTGGCAAAGAATCCGAATAGACACGTCTCAAAGGGAGGTGGCATGTGGTCCATAGCATAGGAAGGGATGCTGGACATCATCACCATCAGGGAAATGCACATCAAAAGCACAGTGAGAGGCCACTTCACACCTAGTAGGATGCTATTCAGCAATGCAAAGGAATCAACCATAGATGAACCTCAAAAATATTGTTGCATGAAGAAAGCCGACACAAAAGACCATATATTGTATGACTCTATTTATATGAAATGTTCAGAGACTTTCTGTCTCTCTAAAGATTAGTGCTGTGGGTGGGAATGGGGATTAACTGTAATGGGCGTGAACATTCTTACTGGGAGGAAAAAATGTTCTAAAAATGATTTATGGTTGTGGTTGCACAACTTGTTAAATTTACTAAAAATTCTTGAATTACATACTTGGAATTTAATGCTATATAAAATATATCAAAATCAAGTTGTTAAAAAAACAAGTACAGAAAACACTGTATGTTTTACAAGATCATATACAAATAAAAATATATGAATTACACATATCAGAATTCCTGCCCGCAGGTGTGTTTATGAAGGGGGAATGGAAATGAATAGGAATTTATAAATAAGTAAATAAATAAATAAATAAAGTATTCTAAACAAGAGGCGGGTCTGCATGGAACAATATGAGCTCTAAATGTAAGATTATGACCACTCCTCTGTAAATGAGGTTTAAACAAAAGTAAAATACAATAAATATTTTTAAAAAGAGAGGAAGAAATAATAATTCCACTTCACTTACTATTTTTGCAGACACTAAACTAAGTCATATAATATAAAATAACTTTGGGTAAACTAAATTTGTGATTATGCTACTTGAAAAGTATTTGAAATGCAGTCAATACTTCAAAGCCCAGTAGGTTCTAAAGCAAGAGAAATAACAAACAATTAAAAAAGGGTAAGTGCTCCCTGAATGTTGCAGGGGAAATATTTTACTACTTCAATACCCTGTTAAATATCTATGACATATTATTATAAATTAAAGTAGCATACAACCACAAAAGATAATGATAAATACTGACTTCAAGGACTTAGTAACAACTTTTTTCCCAAAGTATATATCATGAAATCGTGAGTCCTATGAAAAGTTCTGCCTAAAAAGTGATCCTTGGTCAAGTAAGTGTAGAAATACTACACACATGTACCCCCACCAATGTATTCACAATACATTAGCATATTAAAGTCTCTACGAAGACGGTCTCCAAGACTTTAAAAAAACTAAATCTGCTGATTTATAAATCTACAAAATTCTTTTTTCATGTAACACCTTCTCTTAATGAGAAATAAACACTTTAGAAAACGCATCATTAAACAGATTGTTATTCAACAAATACCCATTGAACACCTGCTGTGGGCCAGGCCCTCTTCCAGGTGCTTAGGATTTCAGATGTAAGGAAACCAAATTTCATGCCCAAATGGAGATTTTCATTACAGTGGATATTATATGTTCTGCACAAGTTTTTTCCTATTATACGAATATTAGGTGATAATGTCAAGTAAAGAGGCATAAATATCAATAGGCAGAGAAACAGCAAGAAAAGCAAGGGAGTATCTGAAACAATATGTTTAGGCAGGATAGATTAGATCAATTTAGTTGCTTATTTTCAAAAAAGACAGCAACTTAAAGACCACTGGATTACAGCCAAAATCTTCATCAATAAGGAATGTTTAACTATGGACTTCTACAATAGATATGATGCAGTCATATCATTTATTGACTAATATGAAAAGTTAAAAAAGAATGCAGATGACATAAGTGGATTCCACCATTTGTTTAAAAAAGATTGTCTAGACTCTGTCCTTTCACTATAAATTTATTTGTATGAATAGAAAATTTCTGAAAAGACACAAATTTTAATAATGGTTGGTTACCTCTAAGGAGCTGGAATAAATGATCAAGAGACTTTTTTTTAGCTTTATGTATTAATTCATTTTTAAAAAACAAGATTTATTACTTTTATCATGAGATAAAAAAGTTAAGACTTATTCACTGATAAGTATCTCAGGCAAAGCAAAAGAGCTGAAGGAAAGCAGGAAGTGGTACGATTTACTTTTTTAGGGTTTAGAAAATTTAACTTTTAAAAGGACAAAGCACTACTTTGTAAATAGTGGTCAGGAAAATATCTCAAAAGGAGGGGCTTTTGGGTAATCAGGCATACTGAAAAAGGGACTTGATTGATGGGTTTATCTTCTAGACAGCTATAGGCTGATACACATAAAAACAAGATCTCTAAGAATAAAACTAAAACCAGCATCTCTGAAAACGGCTGAATAAGAATGATTTGATGTATTTAAGCATCACCTTCTCACTTTAAATATTTAATGTAGCAAGTAAATATCAGTTTTTCTGATTGGAAGTATAAAACTATTTAAAATAGAAAATTACCTTTCTTATAAGGTGGTTTTCAGTATCTGCCACATATATGATATTGTTCATTATGGCTACACCCTGTGGTGAATTAAAAGTTGACTCTGAAAATATTCCATCGTTTCTTCCAGGATTGGGTCCTAAAAGAGAAGATAGCCATAAGACAAAATTTTTCCACTTAATAAACTCCCCAAAAGAAAATCTGTATTTAAAGCTGGGATTTTAATAAATAACATGATGTTTCTACCTAGACACTAAAATATTTCCTAAGACATGTGTTTTTCTCAAGAGTAACAAGTGTTGCTAATGACAAGGCTTATTGGATAATGATAGCCAGTACACTTAACTACAGTAACACATATAAGAATACTTTTAAAAGCATCTTAATTTAAAAGCACTTTTAAAAGCATCTTAGTATAGAAAGAGTTAAATATAATTTTAATCTTTTAGCATCTAGATGAATGATATTAAACAATTTGGGAAGATACACTCATTTGATAATACCATTGACCCTTGAATAACACAGGTTTGAACTGCACGGTTATATGCAGATTTTTTTCATTTATTTTAAATTTAAAGATCCACTTGGCTTTACTGAATGATTCATGAATCAGGCAGCATCCCATGTAATAAACAGAAAGGTGCTCTCTACATAGATTTTTTTCAGTAAATACTTATGATTTTCTTAATGGCATTTCTTTTCTCTAGCTTACTTTGTTGTAAGAACACAGTATATAACACATATATACAATATGTATTAAGTGACTGTATACTATCGGTAAGGCTTCTTTCTGGTCAACAGTAGGCTATTGTAGTTCAGACTATCAAGTTATATGTGAATGGGAAACCAAGTTATATGTGAATTTTTGACTGCATGGGGGTATGGCACCCCTAACTTCCACATTGTTGAAGGGTCAACTGTACAATGAAAATTATGAACCCTTTCCTTATAGAAAAATACACATACCCATAAAATGTCACAAATAATTTCAAGGGTTTCCTAGATCCTCAAGTCCACCCAAGTATTTAATAGTCCATGAACCCTAGGTTAAGAATCCTTCATTTATCATTTCACTTTGCCACAAAGTTCTATATCCCATAAACACTGTAAGAGACAGTGTGATTCTGGTCTAGTGACCTACTTCTTGACTTTTGTAATACATGTGGAGTTTCAAGAGTGGAGGTACACAGCATAATGAAGTATAATTGTTATTTTTTTGACCAGAGGACAAGCCATTCAAAGCCTCTAGGTCAGCATTTCCAAACTCTGCTTTGCAAAAGAACTCCACTGTCCGTCCGTCAGGTGTTGGAGAGACAGGCAGTATGTGTAGTGGGCAGGAACATAAATTCAAGAGCCTAACAGGCTTGGTTTAATCCCAGCTCTGCCTCTTCCTAGCTGATGATCTGGGCATGTTCTTTGTGTCTCCGGTTGTTTTCTGTATAATGGAACTAATAATATACCTCCTCATAAAACTATGAAAGCTGAATAAATTAATACAGATAAAGTGCTTAGAATAATGCTAGATGTAAATGTATTTCTATTATACTAATATTATTATTACTGTGATTGACAGTTTTACTGTTATTACTCTCAATAATAATACTATTATTGTTGGTGGTGAGAGGTCCCTGAGGGGGGAAAAGGGAGAGAATTGTGGTCACTTCAAATTTGAAGACATTGTGTACTATAACCCCTCTTGGATATTCATGAGGTACATTAGCAGAGTAAAATATATGAGATGTTCAGTGAAACCACCCCCAACAAAAATCTGTTAAACCACATCTAACCAGTTGTTCCTGACTATACCTGACCACAGAATTCTTTTGAAAAATTCTAGAATAACTATTAATTTATTACAAGATGACAGTATTCCTAGAAACATGCTTGGAAAAGCTAGCTTGCTGCTAGTTTTCTCTGTTTAACAACAACAAAAAAGAATATTTACCTACACCATTTTGAAAATTATAGAATCTATTAAAAATTCTTTTAACCATTTAAATTCAATCTGCTACAACAGATAGGATTTGAATAACAATTCTCATAACTGCATGTCATAAACCAAACTAAGTTGCTAAAACAAAATAAACAACATAAAACACACATATACTCTAACAAAAACAACAAAAAATTCAAGAGCTAAAGGAGTGATGTCTTGGCATACAACGAACAGTACCAGGGCTTAGGAACACGATCAGTTTATTTGCACTAGGAATGCAGGTGTTCCTGCTTTAGGTACTAATGCTGCATGTGCTACTCAAGCAGGACTGCAGAGATAAATTACTTTTCTCTTTGACTAATATGTCAATAATAAATTATTTTAAAAATTAATAAGATTTTATTAATTATGTAGATGTAAATAAATCTTTAGATCTAAGATCAGGGAGATAAGGAATGATGCTTATATTTTGCTATACCCAAAGGGAAATGATCAAAGAGTGTGTGCACACCCGACCGGGCGTGGCTCAGTGGTTAAGCATCGACCTAGGATCCAGGCGATCAGGGTTCGATTCCCGGTCAGGGCACATGCCCGGGTTGCGGGCTGCAGCCGGTCAATGACTCTCTCATCATTGATGTTTCTATCTCTCTCTCTCCCTCTCCTTTCCTCTCTCTGAAATCAATAAAGATATATTTAAAAAAAAAAAAAGTGTGCAAGTTCTTATGGAAGGAAAGAAAAGTCATACAAATCCTAGGTTATTTATTTTATAATCTAAGACTCAAGTTCCTAGGGTACTGTCCTGTTTTTTTTAAAAAAATATGGCTATATTTTGATGGAAAATGAAATATAATACTTGCATTTAAAATGCCCCAAATCCAAAATGTATATATAGAATAGGTCCTCAAATAATGTTCAACATTGTTTTATTACATTGTTGATGACATGCCACAGGCACTTAACTCTTCTTTTTATCAACTAGCCTATTTGTAAAATGTGTTTTGTTATATATTGTTTCATTTGAAGTTGCAGAACCTATTGATGATGTTAGGTGAGGACTTACTGTAATACTTTCATAAGATACAATAACAGTGGTTATTTTTTAAAGAAACAAGATATACAAATTAGTTATTCATAAATTTCAATTTACTATATTTCCTTGACCTTGTTTTCACTAAGAATATGTTATATATCGTAATTAAAAATAAGAGTTACCTCCAATGCTGTGCTGAATCTCCCCATTCTTCCCGATGACCAGAATTCTATGATGTCCAGTGTCTGCTACTACCAATCTCTTAGAAACGGGGTCTACTGTTATCTTGCCAGGAAACAGCAATGGCGAAGGCGGCAAAGAATCTTTATAGAGTTTTATTCCAATTTTATTATCTCTGATCTGTCCCCTGTCTTTGTAATACTTTAAAGCTATTGAAGTATACAAAAACAATTTATCTTTGTGTCCCTCTCCAATCAAGGAAAACAACATATTTCCACGGGGTCCGAGAATGACCACAGTTGGCCAGCAGGAAACCTCCAGTTCTTGCCAAAGGCTGGCATCGGCATCGTTAACTACAGGGTGGGTGATGTCGTATCGAAGAACAGCACTCTTGATGTTATCCAGGACTTTTTCATTTGGAAACTTAGCCGAGTGAACACCAACAATCAGCAGGCCATCTAAATGAAAGAAATAAGTTAAATATTAAGAAGTATTAAAGTCTGAATAGCTTCATCCACACATTAGGTGTTGGATCATTAATAAACAAACAGTCCAGAGATAAAAACAAGAAAAAAGGCAGAACTAAATTAGTGACTTTGACAGCACTTAAACACATGTATAAAAAATTAACATTTAAATCTCATGACAATGTTAGTAACTACATAAAAACACATGATCAGTCATGTGACTATTTCAGGATTAAAACCCTTTGTGTCCTTATTCTAGACAAAGCTTTAAAAAAAATACTCTTCATTTTTATATAAAAATGTTGAAATTATGTTAACTTCTCCTTTATTTGTTATAAGCCCCTCTGAAAGTCACAGTGATTATGCTGCATTTTGTTGGTATTTACTGTCACATTATCCTAAATTTTCCTAACCTAACTATATTACGGATAACAACTATACAAGCAAGATGCTTCCATAACATAAAGTCTGTGATTTATTTAAAATTCCTATTATATAATTTTTAGTACAAACCTTATTATAGATAGAACTACTCAAAACTAAAACCAACATATTTCTTTTATGTTATCAATATAGTATGTCAAGAACATAGTATAAAGGGAAAAAAGAAGTGTTAAGCTGAACTGAGAGAAAAACTCAATGCTGAATACCAAGGTAGTAGAGGTAATAATGGTTATGTAAGTTAGAACTTCCCAACACACCCATCAAAACTATACAAATCAGCGTAAGGGAGAAATAAAACCACATGAACTGGGATTTGTAATTCCCCGACAGCTCATCCTTCCATTTACAACTATTAACTCCAAACCAAAACACACACACACACACAC